AGCTTGAGCACTATAGTAAAAGATAGTTTTGAGAGTAAAGCATAAATATACATTCGCGGAAATTGTTATTATGATTTAGTATAAATAAATGGGAAAATTGTATCGGCATGTCATCATAAATAAAAATCAAGAGATTGTGTGAGACGTGAATTTTGATCTCACAGTATTGATCATCATAAATCCTGGGATTCAATAATGAATACTTTGCTAAAAATGGCACTTTTTTTGTTATGCATTTTTAATGATTCTGAAAGCCTTATAAAAACCTTTTGTAATGTATCACAACCATGTTATCTGGGTTTATAATTTCATTTCAACATTTTTGAAATTGTTTTTAATGGTTTTGTAATTATTTTGAATGACAACACAATTATTTACAAGATTTTTTTTTTTTTTTGAAAAAGGCAATATCCTGCCCATATAATCTTTATTAAAATATAGTAAATATTGAATACATTATTTACAAGATTTATTTATAACTATTTGCAATATACTGTATAATTATACAGCAGTATAATAAAAAATATTATGTACATAATATACATTGTTTTCATCATGTTTTCCGTTATTACAACCTAATTTTTGACATTGATGTACAAAATGGGCATTTGGTTGATGATCCATCCATTTTTTAACCATATAAATTTGACGGCTCATTATTGAGTGCCAGGATTTTTAAGCCAATCAAAATAAATTTATGATTTGAATCATAAATTTATTTCGATTGGTTAATTCATAAATTTATTTTAATTGGCTAATTCATAAAATTTATAAAATTTATAAAATTTATCACAATATTAAAAAAATTCTAATTGTGTCAGTAATGGCCCAAAGAAATAGACAGAGATATTCCAAAAAACAAGCAGGAATCATAGAAATTGAATCACAAAAGATATTGGATGCTTGTAAAGGAGATAAAATTCTGTCTAAACATGTCACTGAATGGTATCATCCCCCAAAATACTCTTATCGAAGTTTAACACCAAATCCCGATGATGACTATTTATTATCAATTTTCTTTTGGCGACCTGAAAAATTCTATCACCACTATGTACCTATCATTCCTTGTATCATTGACAGTTGCAATGGGAAGGTTAAATCAAAAGGGTGGGCAGATGGGGGTGGACGATTAATTTATGGTATTAATAGAAATGTTTTACTACGTAGTTGGAGTTATACTTGTGATTCTTGTAAAATTAGCTTTTATTCTCATGATGATAGACTGTTGAGAAAATTACCAGAACATATACAACATGGTATGTTTATATATTATTAATTTATATATCAATTTCATAATTAGCATTTCCTTTTTATATGTTATCAAAATCTGGGTTTACTTTAGAATTGGTTTCAAAATTTTGTCTCTAATTCCAGATATTGGTCTTGATAAGGTTGTTCAAAGGATACGTGAGAATCATATTGATTACTATTTAAAAAAAGAGAATTGTTATTATGAACATTGCATTAAGTATCAAAACTATTTATCAGCAAGTAATAATAGTGATTTCTTTGGAATGAATATTTCTATGGATAATTATGTTTTTAAAATTTTTTCAAAATTTGATGATCCAGATGAGTATCAAGGATTGTGTCCTTCTGCAACTGTTATAAGAGAATGTTTTTTAAATTACTTTGAAACTAAGTTGGAGAGTTTTATTGATATGTACATGAGAAATTTATCTGGAGAAGTTTTATCATCTGATCACACTTTCAAAGTAGCATCCTTGGTTTGGATTGCAAAAAACCAACCATTTGGTGCTTTTTGGGCTGTTTTGAATGAGTATAATGAGGTGATTACCATGGCATTTGTTAAAGATAAGTCAAATGCTTGCATAAAACCTATTCTTGAGAATCTTAAGAAACTCTACCAATTATTAAATAAAGATGATCCTTGGGCATGGTATTCAGATCAATGTTGCACTGATTGAAAGTTAATAAATTCAGTTTTTCCAAATACACCAGTAAAGAAGGACCTATTTCATTTTTTGGATCTCTATTTATGTAGTATGGGCAGAGAATCACAAAGTAACCTTTTTTATAAACAGTTTGTTAGAGAATTGCGTGATATTTTTTTCATAAACAAAGATAATCAAAAAAAAATCCCACACCAACTTTGTTAGAAGAAAGATTAGAAAATTTCATAGATAAATATAAAAATCCCAAGTTTAATATTATAAATGAAAATTTTCTCAAACAGCATAGAGATAATTTGATTCATATTAGACTTGGATGTGTTTCTGATGTCCAGGACAAGCCTTCTGAAATCATTATCAAGGGTAAGTATTTATTTTTAATATAATAAATAAATAATTAAATAAATAATTAATTAATTAATAATTATCTTGAATTTTTAGATAAAATTAATAATAAATCTAAAACTTTGTATTTACGTGGAACTTCATCATTGGAACAAGCAAATAAAGCTTTTGCAACTCCTTTTAGACGTACTGCATGTGGACCTCGTATGACTAATGCATTGTTGAAGATAAATGTCTATCAAATAAATGTTCGTATGGGGAGAGTGAATCGTCAAGATAATTTCTTACTAAAGTGCAATTATAGTTATTTAATTAAAACAAAACTTAGAACATTTGAATTGATGAAAATTTTGTTTCCAACAGAACATTACGATAAATTTTTGATTTATAATATAAATTCTAATGAAACTTTTGGATTTTTGAGCAGTGATAAAGATAATTTATTAATTAATGATACTATGGAGGAAGAATTGAATGACATGGATATTATGGAATCAGGAGAAGACATGGTATCAAGCCTATTGGATTTATCTTATGATAGCAGTGATCCTGTGTCTAGTAATCCATCAACAATGAATTATGATAACTTTAATAATATTTTGATTGATAATAATAATAGTAACAAATATCAATCATCATCATTATTTATTAAGGAAAGAACTGGAGGTTATGTTTGCACCAGTAATTTTAATTCCAATGAACACAGTAAATTCAAAGAACTTTACAAAAATCATCTAAATCAAATTAATGATCCTAAAAATATTAATTGGGATAAAGTATATGAATATTGGATGGATCTTGCTGATAGAAATGCAGATTCAAATTCTTGTACATTAATCCGTCCTAAATTAAAAGAACATTTAAAAGAGCATTTTTCAGTAATTAATAATTTTTATTTACGAATAAAAATAGAAGAAAGTGTAGAAGCAGGTAGAATATAGTTTTTAAATATTTAACATTAATAATGAAAGATTTTAACTATTTATTTAATTATTAAGGGTCTTCATCAACAACATCCAACTCATCATTAAATACAAATGGTAAATATGCTTCTTACTTTGGTTTTCACTAAATATCATTGAGATATTATTAATTATTATAATTTTTTACATAATATTAAATAATAATAAGAGACCAATATCACCAGTGCCATCATCACCATTTATGCAACAGCAACAAAAACGAACATATAAAGAACCAATTTGTCATCGTTGTGGCAAAAGTAAATCTAAAGATAAAAAAGAACATCCATTAAAAAGGTATTGTCCTGATGGTGTGTTAAGTACAAAAATACATATTACATTTCCTCATGTTTGTGAACAAAAACCATGTTTTCAAAATTGTAATGATAGGAATTAGAATAAAATAAAATAATTTTATTATGTAGAATATTTTATTTATATTTAAATCATGAGATATTACATCAAAATCCGGCAGGGTTTTGAGCCGCAGTCAATTCTGGCAGCCAATTACGAGCCAATTTGACACCATTTTTGATCAGCTGATCGCTGGAGTCTATAACATGGATAACCTAATTTTGGATCATTAGTATTTAATGAAATAAACCAATTTAATAGTAGAAAAGGAATTTCTAATTGGTCTTTGGTGTGAAGGAAAATTGCCTGAATTCACGCATATGAAATAATCATTTTTATTCCAGTATTTTCATTATTTGATATATCCTCCAGAACATCAATAATATCACCAACATGAAGATTTACATCAATCCAATCATCATCATCAATTATGGTATAACTAATACTTTTAAAGTATTTTACTTTCTGTGATGCAAGATGTTCAATACAATTAAGTTGTTCTTGATATGCATACCCAATTTCTGCAAATAAATCATCATTAAGAGTATTTTCAAGGTCAGCAGTTTGTAGATCATGCTTTTTGTACATTCCTCAAACTCTCACATTAATATAATTTTCATTCATACATGTTATTTGTGAAGGTGATGATGAATTATCTTCTTGGTCTAAATCAATTGTTGATGATGAAATGTACTATGAACTAAGAAGTGTGCTCACACATTGATCTTTTGATAACATATTAAAATTAAATTGTTCTGTTACATCATATCTTTCATCAACACCACCATCTAGTAAAAATTGTAAGGTTTGCAGGCAGTTATCACAACATACAAAATCTAGCTCAATATTTTTTTTGTTAGAATGAGGAATAATGGCCTTGTATAATCTATGAATCATTTCTTTTGTAGAAACTGCTGTATTTACTAAAGTTGCGAAGTTATTTGCATGCATAATAAAATGGTGTAGAATATGAAAATTTGGTAGTCAAGTAACACTAGGAAAAATCTAAATTCACAAAAAAAGACACATTCAGTGTTGGAAATTCGACGATCTTATGATCTGCAAAAAAATATTTGCGCACATAATTGTGATCAACAAAAAAATTTATTTAAATTATATAAATAAAAATTATAAATAAAAATTACAAAAAAAAATTTTATGAATTAATCCTCCTATTTTTTTTATTTTCCCAATATTCACATGCTTTCTCAAAATTAAAGTCTTCAATTTCAGGTCCATTTAGTAAAATCATCAAATGATTATTTAATGTATCAAGATTCATTTTGTTCCTTAATTTATTCTTAATCAACTTTGTTTGGGAAAATATCCTTTCTACATTTGCATTTGAAAGAGGTATATTAAGAGATATTTTAACTAAAAGGGATATGTTTGGGTAATTAAATGAAAAGTCTTCATCTGTGTCAAAAATGAATTTCCATAAATTAATAGAATCTAGTTCATTAGGTTTTTAAGTTGGAGGATAGATTTTACTAAACACCATTCTTCAAAAAGTTTGTCCTTATCAATAATTTCTTGAAATTCATCACCATCTACAAATTTAGTTTCTCCATAAAATTCACTAAGAAATTCTATCTCTTTATTTCCATATAAATTTAGTTGTTCATCATCATCTGGGATTTCTTTTGGATCAAAGATGCTAAATGAGCTATATAATTCCATTTGTGGAAATCTTCTTTGAATAGCATCAATTATTGCAATGGAATACTCTTTAATAAATGGTGGAGAATTAAAATTATGCTTATTTAAATATTCTTTGAAAATGAAACCATTGTTAGGTGGAAATTGCTCATTACCAATGAATTCATACTCTATTTCATTTATTGTATTGTTGAGGCTTTTTTTAAATTGAGATAATGATAAAAAATCTAGTTGGAAAGTATTGATCAATTTCTTTAGAATATTTGTTAAGTCAGCAAAGTACATAGTTGCAAAAATAAAATCTTGATCCAACTGATTATACAATAATTCAGCTTGTTTATCACCTTAATTAACATAATCATTAAGAGTTGCAAGTACTGAATTCAAAATTTTATACAAATTACTAACAGAATTAGAAAAGGACAACCATCGTGTTTCACATAAATTTAAAATCTTTAGTGTTGGTTCATCATTAATGTCTTGCATCATTCTTAACATGTTTTGTCTCTTATGTGATTTAGAAAAAAATGCATACAAATTTTTTAAGGTTTCCTCATATTTTTCAAAACATAAAACTTCATTAGAAGCATCTTTTCCAGCCAAATGTAGTCTATGTGACACACAATGATTAGATGACATGAATGGATTTATTTTTTTAAGTCTTGCAGCAACACCACTTTTATAACCAGTCATATTAGATACACCATCACTTCCAAAATGAATTATTTTTTGAGAGGTTATTTCTTTGTCATCACAAAATGATATTATTTGATTAAAAATATTTTCTCCATCAGTTGATTCCAAATCAATCCTTCCCAAATATCTCATGTATGGTATTAGAGGCCTGCATCGGGTTGGGTCCCGTGTTTTAACCCGACCCGAACCCGAAAGTCGGGTTCGGGTTGGGCGGGTTTGATCTTGATGTCAAATAACTGCGGGTCAGGTTCGGGTTGTATCTTACAACAATTAATGACCCGAACTTGACCCGAATTTAAATAATTTCTTAATATATATATATATATTAATAAATATAATTTTTTTTTTTATAAATTTTTTTTATGATAATAAATTTTTCTTTTTATGATAATAAAAATTTTTTTTTTTTTATGATCTATAATAAATTTTTATGATAATAAATTTTTTTTTTTTTATGATAAATTTTTTTTTTTATGATAATAAATTTTTTTTTTAAATTTTTTTTTATGATAATATAAATTTTTAATGATAATAAGTTTTTTTTTTATGATAATAAATTTATGATAATAATTTAAATATATATATTATATTTTCAAATTAAATATACATTTCACACTTTTTCAAATCAATGTCAAATACATT